GGCACACACCTCGGGGACACCCACCTCCCTGCGTTGCTCACGAGCCCAACCACTGTGCCTCGCTGCCGTGTTGGCGAACCAAGATCCGTAGTTTTAAAAACAATGGAACTGGATATTGTGATTCATGATAGGAAAAGGGCAAATGGGCTACCGAGTTACTACAAGGTCCTGAGCGCACACTTACTACTGGGTTGATGTGTCCATATGATTTGTGAGCGTTTTAGTGTCTTAACAAAGAGAAGGCTCCGTCGCGATCACATATTTTGTGTGAAAGGCAAACAGACCTAAAATTAGAGCTCAGTGCGGCCAATTGTGTCTTCTTTATGGGAGTCGTATAGTCTTGAAATATAAATAAAGAGCTGACACTGTCATCAGGCCAAACTGATGAGAGTTGTATGAAAAGTTTGTGTTTTTAATTTGCTCTAGGCTGGTGCTAAGTTCCAGGAGAACCTTCTCAGTGTGGTCTGTGATGGTCGGTAGAGTAGCCACTGGCCACATGTGATGATGTAGTACTTGAAATGGGGCTGATTGACTTTGCTGCTGAATTTTAAATTCGGTTTCATTTTAATTGTTTTAATAGTCATAGTGGCTAGTACCTCTAGACTGGCCATGAGTTTCATTGCTTCTTGCTGGCCAGTACCAGAGGGCAGGCTTCAAAAAATTTCCGGGCAAAAATCCCATTGTATTTAATTCCGTTTTTCAACCAACTTTTTGAAGCCCTTTCGTACAAGTTAATTGTGACTTACATTGCTCCTAAAAATCCTTACTATCTTTACTATAAAGAGATTACGTTTTAGAAGATTTGTTGTTGCTGTTGTTATTCTGTTGAATGAGAGGTTCTTTAAGTGGCTTTTAGTATACCTCTCATTTGGAATATTTTGCTTCAATATTATCATCAAACATGTATTGAAGACGTAATATGGCTGTTTGTAGGAACTTGGTAGTTAGAAGAAAAACCCAGCTTACTGTCATCTAGTTGATTCTTACTCATGCGATCTATGGGAGTTATAATAGGGTTCAAATCCAGCTCCACTCTCAAATTATGTGACCTAATAATTTTTATCACTTTCTAACATTTCTGGTACATTGTGTGTGCCTGTGTTGTTTATGTTCTTGGAAGCAGGGGATTGCCTTACCTGTCTTGTCATACAATTCCATAAATCAAGTATACATAGCTCCATTTATATGGAGAAACGTTATTCATGAAACTGGGACAGGATCTTCAAAAAGGAAAAGGGATTTCAGTTTTGATACTGGATGCCAAGTTTAAGCAAGGGGACTAGCTAATGTATTAGCTGATAGCCAGCACAACATTGTCAGTAATAAACACTACCACTTAAGCACTTATCATGCACCGGTCATTGTGCCAATCACTTTATATTGTCTTCGTTACAACTGAGGTAAGGGTTCTTTTAAGGCTTTGTTTTTCCATATGAAGAAACTGAGGATGTCTTTAGCTCAGATCTTTCCTCTGAGTTCTTAAACACCTGCTACCAATTTCTTAAGAAACACTGGTAGTGTGTAGCAGGTTGTGTGTTGGGCTGCTTAAACGCAAGGTCAGCAGTTTGAACCCACTAGCCTCTTTGAGGGCTAACAGTGAGCTTTTCTGCTCTGGTAAGAGTAATAAACAAAACAAAGCAAAACAAAAGATAAATCCCATCATTGAGTAGATTTCGATTCACCGTGGCCCTAGAGGGCAGACTGGAATCCTCCAGTAAGAGAATAGAAACTTCATCTTTTCCTGAGAAGCAGCTGGAGGTCTCGAACTGCTATCCCACCAAGGCTCTTAGCGTCACATTTCACCGTTTCCAAAGTACAGAGCTACTTTAAGTGGTTTCAGTCTCAATGAATACCAACACTAGTCTGTAGGACGGAGCGAAACTGTCCCATAGGGTTTGTAGGACTATAAATCTTGACACAAACAGACTGTCACATCTTTCTCTCTCACTGTAGTTGGTGGGTTCGAACCCACCAGCTTTTGCTTAGTAGCCACGCACGTAGCCACTGCACCACCAGAACTCCTGTCTAATCACTTTAGGCTCTCATTAAAACCTCCTTTCTCTCTTCTCTCCCCTTCTCCCTCCTTGCCTTGCTCTTGCTCTCTCATATACACATTGCCAGAGTTATTCTTTCAAAATGTAAATATGTCATCCTTTGGCTTAAAATCCTCTAGACGCTCTATAGCCCTTGATTTGGTCTTCCTCTCATGCTGCCCTTTCAGTTATTTGGGGCCTTTTTCTTTCCCTGCATTCACCAGACTCTGCCTGAAGGACCTTTGCTCATGCTGCATGGAACGCTCTCCCTTTTCTTATCCTCCTTCAGTTAACGCCTGCTTATCCTTTAGGTCCCATTTCACCTTTGTCAGAGAGATGGATTTTGTCTCTCCTGTCTAGATTACATTGATTTACTACACCCTTTCATAGCTCTATGTAATTCCTTCCTGACAGTTGTCAACAATTGCAGTTTTGCATTTATGTGTTTTTGTGATTAGTTAACATCTACCTCCTTTGCTCTAATAGAAGCCCCACTAGAACAGGTTTAGCTTCTGCTTTTGTTCATGCTTGCATTCCCACTTTCATGCATAATACCTGATTTAATTCCCTCACCTTTTTTCATATCACGTGTTATTTTGGGAGAAAGATGAGACTTTTTACTCTGTAAAGAGTTACTGTCTCAGAAACTCATGGGGCTTTCTACCCTGCCCTGTTGGGTTCCACCCTGTCCTATAGGGTGCCTATGAGTCGGAATCTAGTTGATGGCACTAAATTTGATTTGGCTTTGGTTTTGTTACTTTTCAAGCCTCAGTGCTACCCCCAGCCCCCTTTCTGTTTCTGGACTATTCCAATCTAATTTATTTTTTTGTTTGTTTGTTTTTGTTTAATTTATTTTTTTAAGTTGCTTATTTTATTTATCTTTTTATTAGGGCTTCATACAACTCTTATCACAATCCATACATACATCAATTGTGTAAAGCACATTTGTACATTCATTGCCCTCATCATTCTCAACACAT